CGTACACCCAGGACCTTTCGGGAATTCCAAATTCCTCAATTTCGTGTACGAATACTACAAGGAGTGCTCAACCATCCTCGAGATGAATCCGGATTTCCACTTCATTCCTGAGCATGAACGACCACATGGGGTCAAGGTATTCTGGCTGAAAGCCAGATTCAATGACTACTGGCGGCCAACGGCCCACACGCAGAGAAACAATACATGGACTTCATCAAGAAGGTCTACAGCATTTGCTGCTATACCAATGCTCAGCCAGAAGTTTACGGAACCGACATCATTCCGATGGTATGTCACAACAGCCACATTGATCTCGAGAAGACCGTCCAGAATGTTGAACAGGTTTGCAAGTACTTCAAAATGGATCCATCCAAGGCAAAACAGATCACCGACCTCATCCTCTGGCGAATCGAGAGAATGAGCAGATTGTTTTCCGGATGTTTTCGACACGATCCAAGGCAAGGCCATCACAAAGAATGCAGACGACCTGTGGACATGGGTCCTGATGGATCCGTTGAGCTCTACGATGCAATGACCTGCGTTACACGTGCCAGGAACTTCATTGGAAAAAAGCCAGGACTTCTCTTGATGGCTATGTTCCCGAACTATGGAAAGTCACGTTTCGAGATTGCGTTCGTGTATCCATCCGTGGACGGGCCATACAATGAGCGCAAGGCAAGGGGAGAAAATGTTGCAAGAAATCGATGGATCGACAAACTCACCTCTAGATCCGCACACAATGCACTCCGGCCTAATGGCAAGGAATTCCTCAATGATCCTGACATGGAGTTCTACGTGAGATGCAACAGCGGTCATACACGACAAGTCGATCTCCAATCTTTTGGACGACCCTGTACTCCGAGAAGAACCGGACTCTGGTCTTCCAACGGAATCCATTCCTCCAAGTCCGCATCTGTCAAGATCAGATGCGCCCCATGAAGACGAAGGCGCAGCTCAGGCAAAATACAGGATGCGAAGGCCGGCGCCAGCATCCATTGAAGCAGAGAGAAAAATCAAGCCGTTCGCGAAGAAGCCCATCACGTTCATGTTCCATGCAACCTATGGAAATCAGCTAATCAGCATCATGGAGAACGGGCTCAGATCTGTGAACTCCCAGCCAAGCCCTTCGGGGAGAATGCACGTCCACGTGGCACGCATTGACGACGTTATCGTTGACGACGACGAGTCAGAAGCAGCACTAACCCATGTGCCAGCAGGAAGAGATGCACTGTTGATCCTTGCATTCCTCAAGGACCAGGACTATGGCATCCGACTCTCCGAAGAGCGAACAGCGTTGACAGAACAAACCATCGAGACGAAGAATATTGTTGCAGCATTTGAACCTGATGGTAGCACCATGACGAGCAACAACTGGATCATGAAGAAGCACCTCAGTCGTGAAGATTTTGAGATGTATGACACCAAGATCCGTGAATTCGCCGATGCCTTCTTCAGTATATGTGAATTCCGACCAACACAGCAAGGAAAAAGATACTTCCTCAGAGACCAAGAAGCGACGGCGCTCCACCGATCAGGACGAAGTCGAACAGAAAACCATGGAACCCTCCGGGGAGAGATCCGTCAAGCCAAAGGTCACCATGGAGTATCGCAATTCCGAGAACCTAGATGAGTTCATTCAGGAACTCAAGGAAACCTACCTCGAAATAGAAATGAGCAAAAAGGACGCCGAGGAAGAGCTCGTGGAAACCAGAAAGAACTTCCTCCACTTCATGGAGAAGTACAACAAGGATCCAAAGAGAGCTCATCCTAAATTGACAGAATGCGAAAGAGCCTCATTGGCACACGTCGATCCTGATGTCAATCTCGGAGAAGAAGAGTTCTACTTCCGCCATCGAGGAGAATGTCCCACCATGGACGAGCACAGGAAGGCACAGCCAATATCCGGATATCCTATTAAGCTTCCACTTGGATTGAAGAAGCTTAGGTCACATGACGACCCGGAAATCATCCGAGCATTTGCCGATATCCTAGGATCGCTGATGCAGCCAACCGACCGTCCCCCTGTGGACCATCTCAAGACGCATGAGTTCACCTCATCCCTGACGATCAACATGCTTACTCTGAACCATGGAAACCTCACGAGGAACCCAAAGCTGGACAACAGGGAGGTGTACAACATGGCGATGAAGGATCGACCAATCGTGAAGATGATGATGCAAAACAGCGCACACATCTTATGCCTGAATGAAGCAGACGCACTCCTCAGTCCTCAAGATGAGAAATCCAGAGAACTCATCAAGACGTTCATCCGATTCGGGCACAAGGGCATTGTGATCCAGCAATGGTCATCCAGACCAATCGCATGCTTTGTCCGCGGCGGACCTTCCGCAAGAGTGGAACTATTGGCAAGACATATGTCCACCAAGAGTCAGAACTGGGGAACCACATTCGGGATGTTCAGATGTTTCTTCGGCGCCGAGGAAAATTGCACTGATCCTGAATACGAAATTCTAACCTCGGACTGCTTGGCAACTACGGGACCATCCATGTTCACTGAATCCAAGAAGTACATAGGACCCAGATTGCCAACACGCGCCACTGTCCAAGGACACGGACGTAACAAAGAGATTGTCGTTCTCCACATCGAGAAGAGCGATGAGTGTCGTGGTATGCCAACAAATCACTCCTCGAGTTTGACAGCCGCCACGTAACGAGGGCAGACCTCCCGTTTGCCATCAATCAGCCATGGAGCAGCACGGGAAGATCAGAACGAAACCATGCCGCTCGTGACATTGTACCAATGCGATGCGATCGCCGGAGACGCAAACAAATCCGCGAATACCTACAGCAGACTCCAGCACGTCTTCAATCCGACCAATGGTCTCATGAATATCCTCATGAAGGCATATCAGAGATTGTGGAATGAGACGGAGAATCTGCCACTCGTGGACAGAATTGAGTATGCAATGGAGACGTCATGCACCCTAAAATCCATTGTCCGACATCACCTATACATGAAGACCGGATCAGGGTATGATCGAACATTCCCCGATGTGATGATGACATTCGTGTTTGGATGGGGCGAAACAAATATCCAGCAGGTTTTCCGGAAGGAAGAGATGAACGCCATGAAAGATGAACAACTGGAAGCCATGCGGAACGATCCGACGTCCGCCATCTTCGATTACCAGGTCACACCCGCAGAGCGCTTTAAGCCGTGAACAATGACATGTTCATGAAAGGCTCACAGGATTCCGACTCGCACAGTCCTCTCATGGTCTACATCCGCAGCAGATCTGCAGCCAGGCACCGCAACTTTGAGAGATCCAAGGAGCACCTCAAGAAGAAGCGATCCTGGACCCCGCAAGAGTATAAGGACTACAACAAGCAGTGGGGCAATCAGAAGCAGTGGAAAGGCTATGGCGACTCGACCTGGAATGATTATGGAGACTATGGCAGTCAATCCGACAGCAGCCGTCGGTGGTACTGCTGATCGCCTGATGAAGCAGCCACCTTTGGCACTAATTCGACCGACCGAGAAGACCCACACGATCAGTTCAACCAGATTGATCCTCACCGCCAACAAGACTATTCAGTGAGAGATCAATAGTTTCACATTCGTCCCGCATGTACATAGCGTTGTGCATCACCTTTCGATACATCTAGGTATCTCACAGAATCAGTACAGACTGTTTTCCATTTTGCTCACATGACAGTTCATCCGCACCAAAATTGGATGAGTCATTGTAACAAGACTCGGCTACGCCACTTTCAAGTATGGCTACGGCGCATAAGGCCAAGAAGCCAATCATACACTTTCGGTGTGAAAGGTCAAAAGAAATTTGTGTCTGTTTTGTGTTGCTTTTGGTTACACACAAACCTATTCACACAAACCTATTCACACACTCCGCTGACATGTTTGGCTCAAGGCCCTACAAGTCATTTGTACAGTCATTCGACACATGGTACATTGATAAAAAGGCTTGCAGACCGCTTTACAGGTATCACAGTCAACACAAGCCACCAGGGACAATCCATCCTCCAATCCTCCATATTGGCATATTGGACTCTTTTTGAAATCGATGCAGGGACCAAATCAACGACCTCTACTAACAACAGGACCAGTTCCCTTCTTGGATAAGCGCTCCCGGCAGTGGGCCTCACACGCTTTTGGCTGCCCGCTGATTTCAGAATGTTGTACAGAATTACCGCACCCTTTGCGAATCGTCTACTTCTTCGATCATCGCCACCCTTTGTTGAATCTCGAACATCAGGGGGGGCTGCGCCCCCCCTAACCCCCGCTGATTTTCAGAATGTTTACAGAGATTACCGCACCCTTTGCTGAATCATCACTTCTTCGATCATCACCACCTTTGTTGAATCATCACTTCTTCGATCATCATGGGGGGGGCTGCCGCCCCCCCCAACCCCCCTTGCTGATTTGTAGAATGCTTACAGAGCTTAGCGCACCCCTTGTTGAATCATCACTTCCTCGAACATCATGGGGGGGGGCTGCCCCCCCCCAACCCCCCCGCTGATTTAATGTTGCGCCTGTGTCAAACTCTGCACAGTACCTTGCGAAAGTGCTGCGCCTGCCGCGAAATTGGCACCTCTTGCGAAAGTGCTGCGCCTGCCGCGAAATCTGGACCGCACCTTGCGAAAGTCCTGCACCTGCCGCGAATCTGTCCCTGACCTTGCTAAAGTGCTGCGCCTGCTGCGAAATCTGTACCTGACCTTCCGAAAGTGTTGTGCCTGCCACGACATCTGTACCTGACCTTGCGAAAGTGCTGCGCCTGCCGCGAAATCTGTACCGCACCTTGCGAAAGCGCTGCGCCTGCCGCGAAATCTGTACCTGACCTGCGAAAGCATTGCGCCTACCTTGCGAAAGTGCCGTGCGTGCCACGAAATCTGTACCCGAAAGTGCTTGGCCTGCCACGAAATGAATAAGCTTTTTTGACCCCTGCCATCTGGGGGAAGATGTCCATGGCTCATATTGCCGTGTTCTTGGGCCCCTTGTTTCCGATTCGCGAGCGGCACATGCCAGGAGGTGGTGTACCACCCGAAGCTGACGGACATCCAGGACGCCAACTTGTCGGAAATCCTCGACCCTCTGCTAGGCCAGCGAAGCAGAGGGGTTTGTCGTGTCGCCATTTGGCACACAGGCGCCAGGAACGTGTTCTTTGGTCCATTGGTTCTCAACAGCTCGCGCTGCCTGCGCACTTCGCAGGTGCCAACGTGTCCATGGCGGCGCGAAACACCTCGGGGGCGCTGGATGCCTGCAGGGCGGCCTTGTCCAACAGGAGCCCTCAGCCACGCCTGTTCGATCGTCCCTTGCTGTTGCAACTTTCCTGACTTTCTGTTCCTCTGTTCGGCACGATCAGAACAGGCACTCGCAGACGTCTGTGGTGGTGCTGCTCACGTGCCGTGGTTGCATGGAGACACCGAGTCCTTTGTCTACATGGTCTTGGCACGTGACCTCGGCGTGAGATGAGGAACGGCCCTTCTTCCGAGCCAAGCCGCACGTTGCAGTCCGCTCAGCTGTTGAAGCAGCAGGTGGGGCGAGCCCGATATCCCCGACATCCTATTATTTTAAGATTGATATTTTCCCAGTTGATCAGAACTCCGCCCCCCGGTGCAGGCGGCTGTCGTGTTCTCTGTGGGCCTGGACCTCCGGGAGGATCGCTCCCTGCAGCGGGAGGAGGAGCTGTTGGCGACTGCAAGCGGCACTGCGGAGCGCCTACGCGAGAAGACGCGTGATTTTTTGGCACGGCTTTCAGGTCAAAATGGTTTGAAGGCATGTTTGGGTGGCGACAAGTTGGGTGAGTCTTGGTTATTAGCTTTGCCGCCCTAAAAAGGATCCAAGGATCCAAACTGCACCAAGCAGCGCTCGGATACAGGTGCAGGCCAAGCTTGAAGTGAGGGCCCAGTGGAGCACCGCCAGCTTCGGCCAGTTTTCGATCGGCTTGCTGTCGCGGAGAATTTGGAGCGTGAGCGTTTTCGAATCGCGCAGTGTGATGTCTCGGCTATGCCCTCAGGTATGATGCGTTCTATCCGGACTTCGACTACGACTTAATGGACACTCGGCAAGCATCTTCGGCAGGCATGCGGCAGTGGAAACATCTGGGACTGCCCGCCATGTTCGGTCAGCAGTCGATTTTCGTCAGCCACAACTTCCAAAGCTGCTTAGCTGCTAATGAACAGCTCCTGGCAAGAAGGCCGTCAGATCGAGGCGCGCCGCCTGCAGACCTCGGCCTTCCCACTGCCGGAGCTGGCAACTGGGCAGCTTGTTGTTCGGCGCTTTGGGGAGGGGCGACAAGAGGCGAAGCACATGCCTGCCGCCTCAAAGCGGGCACATGCGGAAAGGGCTCCAATTTCATGGGTGTTTTCGCCTTGCATCTGGGGTTTGGCTCTTTAAATCTGGAAACGACAAGCAGCGATGCGCTGCGCCTCTATCAGAAGAGGCTTGTTGACCTGAACAATTTGGTTGGCAGTTCCAGAGCTGCAAAAGCTATGCAGTGCAACATGAACTTGAACAAGTTCCATGTTGCGTGACCCCACAGCCGGCTTCTCACAGATCCTGACTCAGGCACAAGAGCTGTGGCCGGACGTGGTGGCCGGGAAGCCTATTCTCTTGAGCAACCCCCCCTGTCGGTGCGACTGCCTGGTTTGGTGGGGATTCTAGTCCCAGCGAGGTTCCCGCAAACATGTGATTTTCGAGCGTCCGATACGTATGGCTTGGCGGCATGTATGAAGAGTCGATCCACTCGTTTGGAGACAAAAGTTTGTTAAGCGGCAAAGCGATGACTCGTGCCCTCCCCCCAAAATGGAAGTGCGCTCCGATTTTTGAAACTGTAGTTCTCGTTCAAAAATGTGATTTGCTTCCATGTTGGATCGTATTGGTTGGTCCATGGTCCAAAACCAGGCTGCCTGGGGGTGATAGGCCTGGTCATCAATCCTTGGGTGCTTGGACACAATTGGCTTTTGTGGGAACCATTTCCCAAGCTAAGACTTCAGCTTTTCACGCGCGCCCGAGCATGTTTTGCCGAGAGGATGCGCTGCTGCCGTCCATCCCGGACCCGGGGCCCAGCCCACGGCCCCTGGACGCGGGGATCGTTGCGCTGGCCGGGGGCCCAGCGAAGCAAGAGCAAAGCGCTTCGGCGTTAGCAACTTAAAGATACTTAAAGATACTTAAAGCCAACTTAAAGCGACTCAGTTTGCCACTTAATTTGAAGAGACAGTTGGAATGAGCGGCAAGCCTCATGGACAATGATGACTTATGCACTCAAGTCAGGAAATACAGCGCACCAAACCACTAATTAGTTGCTAGCCACTGCTCCGGCCATGCCACGTCCAACGATAATTCACGCTGCTCTTTGCCACGGTTCAGTGCAGCTCCAGTCGCTGCCAGGTTGTCATTGCTTGCTCCTGTTGCTGCACCGTGATCCTCGCTGCCGTTTGCGTGGTCGTGGCCCCAGCACGCTTTCAAGCGAGGTGTCGAGGTGTCGAGGCGTCGAGGTGTCGAGGTGTGCCGAGCAGCGCAAAGTCCCGATTCAATGCCTCAGAGAGGGCTGCAGTGACGTTTGGCTTCGGACCGCTGCAGTGGTTTCTGAGTGCATGGGGGAGAACAATCCACAGTCATTGCGAGGGACGGCCATCCATGCGAGTTCCACAGTCAGAAGGAGCATTCTCATTGCAGCCACAACTATCCCCCTTGTATGGTCCTGGTTTTGAGCCGTGTCGCTCAGTGGGGACCATGGCCATGTACGGAGTTTCTGTGCACCTGGACAGGTCCGGAAGAGGAGAGCCCAGAATAAGTTCACGTCCGTGATGCCGACGCCCGCAGTGGCCTGACTGCATTCGGAAGTCCACGGGTTTGGTCGCCGGGTTGGGTCCCTATGGTCCCCTTCCCAGGATCCGCCGCGGAGCGGGGCTCCGGCCACGCCCGCGCCGGCCGCGCCGCCTGCGCCAGCCGCGCCGGCGCCGGCCGCGGACCTCACGCAGCGGAAGCTGCAGGAGGCGATCGCCGCCCGAAACGTGCGGAAGCTGCCCCTCGGATACGGATGCTAGACGTGTAGGCTCGATCTATCTGGATTAAGTGGGGGATGGTGTCGCATTCAGGGCATCTCAGTTTTTGGAAAGCACCTGCCTTGTGCGCTGAGGCGGCTGCTACTCTCAGACATCCTCCTGGCGGGCTGGCCTCCAGAAAAGTACACGGCCCGGCGGCCCAGGTCAAAGTGGTCAAAGTTGGCGGAGTGATCGGAGTGACAGTGGCACCCGTGGAAGACTTTGGGACTGGAAGCGCATTCTGGGCTGAAGTGTTGATGCTTGCTACTGTAGTCAGACCTGCGCCCCGTATGAGGCCAGCGTGTTCAAAGTCAAGCCAGGACCCCTTTGAAGCATTTTATGTTAATTGAACAAACGCAAAAGTTCAAATCAGAAGAATTTGGCCAGCCCACAGTCGGAGGAGCAGGTCCTCAGCGCGCTGGACTGCGCGGCGAGCCTTAAGGGCTCCGCCAGCCAGGCTTTGCAGGAGGCCATGTGCCCTTGAGAGGTCAAGGGAAGGCTTTGGGTCGATCTCTCTGCTGTTTGCTACAACTTGGGGGATCTTTGAAGTTCTTTAGAGTTCAAGAGCTGTTTTTTGTCCAACGCGTTGCATCGCGTGGACGTCACCGCAGCCATCGCGGTTCCAAGTGCGATGGGCAACAACGCAATGCCTGGCTGAGGCTGGGAAGTGGCATGCAACACTTTGCCGACAACCGCTTGGCCTCTCATAACTTAGGACAGTGACTTCATAGTCACTCCAACCTTAGACATCGAAAAGATGACATATTGCTGACAAATAGATGAAACCAGTGCTTTTTCTGATGAATTTCTGGAAACCAGTCAGAATTTCCGAGAAGTTTTGGCCCATAGCCCGACGTGTGAGGTCATGGGCTTCGCGGGCTTCACCCCGCGGAAGGGCAGCACCCTGCCAGTTACGCGGCCCTTCTCGGAGTACGGGGCAGAAAACGGCTACCTCGCGCCTTTGAAGCGTGAAATCTTTTAACTGATCCTATTTGGTTTCTTGGATTTGGCTGAGGTGTGGTTTTTACTTCCGTGATTCCGTGATTGTTTCGCTTGTGTTTTCCATGACCGCCCAGCTCGGGGGATTGTCCGGGTACTCGCGTAAGGTGCTTCGAGTTGGGCAGCACGTCTCGGTGGATCACGTCGGCCAAGAGGGCGACGAGTTGGGCTGGCTCTTCGGCTGCGAGCCTCCTGGCCAACATGGAGGGATTGCAATTTGCGGGGAGAAACAGAGGAGCAAGTGCAACGGCTGGCAGACAAGAGACGTTTCGTGTTTGCCGCGGGCGAGACAAAAGTGGGCAATTATGCGTCGTGCTGACGCAGCCACAATTGCAGTTGCAAATTCCGATCGCAAACTGCATTTGAGCGCTATCACGTTGTTTTTGCCTATCCATTTGTTTGTTTGTTGTGTGAATTCGGCTTCCCGCCGGCAACCGAGACTTTGCTGGTACAGTTACGGTACTTTTTGGAGTCATGACCCTTCTGCCAGACCTCCCCAATTTTGTGTGTTCCTGTCAAGGTGTCTGCGCCAAACACTTTGGAGTGCTTCAACTTATGCTGCAGCTTTTATGCAGATGCATGGCCAGGACAAGGATTTAACTGGGCCGCGAAGCGCAAAGCCAGCAGCGCAAAGCCAGATTCTGGGAGTTTCGGGGAGTTGGCCGATGTCCGGTACACAACTTGTGATATGACCTCTCAGGCTGGGCACCAAGACACGCGGCTGGTTCCCCATCGCTGCTGTGGAGCCCCCACCATTTCCGCAGCCGCGTGCTGCTTGCGGTCAGGCCCAAAGGGAACACAGCACAGTGCCTTTGTTCGTGCTGCCATTTCTGGTGCTTTTGTTTTGAGGTTTGTGCTTGGAATCTTTTGATTGGAATGTAGCTGCAGGCATGTTGGGCATGGGAATCATACCTTTCAGCACGTGTCCGATTGCTAGATACGCTACACACGTAATTAAGCCAACTTCAATTCTGTTTGGTGGCAAGAGTCTTGCACGAAATTGGTGAGTGCTTGTTGGCAGTCTCAGACAGGAGCTTGCAGCGAGTTTAGCGATGATGTCTCTCCGATTCATTGCAAACGATCCACATCCATATAGATATGGACAGGTGGAAGGGCGCGCAGTTCCGACGGTAAACGTGTTCTGTTCACAGCGGCTGCAATAGGATTTTTGTCCTTGCCTTGCACAGGTCCGAGCTAGCACACCCCCTCCGCCTCCGGACGAGGACGCGACGCGCATGCGAGCCCAAACGCTTTGCATGAGATTTGTGGAAGGGGATTCTTGTGATTCAAGTTGGTGATTTTGGAAGCTCCGGCAAGCCTTCCAGCAGTGTTTGCTGGCTCGTGCAGGGCGGGCCTGACTGCAAAGCCGCAGCAGCCCCAACGCGGCAGGCACCAGCACGGCCCCAGGCCGGGCAGAGGGGAGATCCGTGGACCGCAGCCCTCAACCTGTATCACTTGATTCTGCATGTGCGAGGAGTTGTGAGGAATGGCTTTCTGGATTGGGGTTTCTGGGGTTCTGGGGCCAGGATTGAAATGCAGGCGTGGCACCCATTTGACTCTTCGAAGACATTAGTCACGTGTGTCAATCGATTGCCTTGGTTTGGATGCTGGTCCGATATTAAAGACAAAGCCAAAGATGAGTTGTGTGTTTTTGTTTGAGCCATGTTACAGCTGGGATGGCAGCCAATGTCACCGCATGCAGCGCTATGTGGTTTGTTTGTGCTACGGCTTCTCATATTGGTACTTAGTCTGAGACAGGAGTTTGCTGCGAGTTTAACGATGATGTCTTTCCGAATCATTGCAAACGATCCACATCCAAATAGATATGGACAGGTGGAAGGACGCGCAGTTCCAACGTTAAACGTGTTCTGTTCACAGCGGCTGCAATAGGATTTTTGTCCTTGCCTGCACAGGTCCGAGCTAGCACACCCCCTCCGCCTCCGGACGAGGACGCGACGCGCATGCGAGCCCAAACGCTTTGCATGAGATTTGTGGAAGGGGATTCTTGTGATTCAAGTTGGTGATTTTGGAAGCTCCGGCAAGCCTTCCGGCAGTGTTTGCTGGCTCGTGCAGGGCGGGCCTGACTGCAAAGCCGCAGCAGCCCCAACGCGGCAGGCACCAGCACGGCCCCAGGCCGGGCAGAGGGGAGATCCGTGGACCGCAGCCCTCAACCTGTATCACTTGATTCTGCATGTGCGAGGAGTTGTGAGGAATGGCTTTCTGGATTGGGGTTTCTGGGGTTCTGGGGCCAGGATTGAAATGCAGGCGTGGCACCCATTTGACTCTTCGAAGTTTTTTTTTTTTTTTTTTTTTTTTTTTTTTTTTTTTTTTTTTTTTTTTTTTTTTTTTTTTTTATTTTTTGTTTTTTTTTTTATTTTTTTTTTTTTTTTTTTTTTGTTTGTTTTTTTTTTTTTTTTTTTTTTTTTTTTTTTTTTTTTTTTTTTTTTTTTTTTTTTGTTTTTTTTTTTTTTTTTTTTTTTAAATAATCACGACCCCATGACCCCCAAAGAGGTACCCCAGAAGGGTGTGCATGCATGTGATGTTGGAGGCCCCGTTGATAGCACGAACGTGCTGAATGGCAATGCCCATTTGGCTCAAGGATTCAATGCCCATCATAGAAACAGGGGTTGCGCTCGCCTACCGGACTGGGGTTAATAAGGGTCCCGGTTTCTGGTTCGCTGTGTTTCTTTCCCTATTAAGTGCTTATCAGCCGTAACTGCTTTTTGGGATTAGGCCCCCTCAGTCCGGTAGTCAGCGCGCTTCGTGCATGGACCCGGCTCCGGCCTTTTCGGCCAGAGGACTAAGGGGCGGGTGGGTCCATCGTCGGAAGCTTTACTACGAAGCTTTCGACGAGCTCACCTGTTGGGCTCGGCGCGAGTTCCAGGTTGGTGTAGCAAGAGTGCCCTGGGAGGAAGCTTCGGACTTGCATCGGAGCTCCCTCCTGGCGTGGCAGGCCGATTTCACTGAAGAGAGCTATCGGCACTTGCGGGACATCTACCCCGACCTCTACGACGCCGTCATCGCCCGAGGCCGCCACCAACCAATCCCAATTCACCAACACGCACAGGCCGCAGCTCAAGGCTTTAACGCCAGCTCAGCCACAGCAACAGCCAAGCGCCCCATCAAGTCCAGCCTCCACCACAGCTGTGTCCACCATCAAGGCTGCAGCTCCAAGCGCAGCGCAGACACAGGCAGCAACAGGGCCGGGAGATCAGGCTGCAGCTCCAAGCGCAGCGGTTCCACCAAGAACCACAACTGAGAGCCCGTCCCGACCTTCATCCTATCCGCCTGCAACTGCGAGTAGGGGAAGGTACACTGCTGCGGGGAGGTCCTCATCGAGGAGGAAGAGGACACCGCCGGCAAGGCGACAACCTGCCCGTGCACCGGTGCGGAAGGCGTCGACCAGACGCCCAAGATCCAGAACTCCTCAAAGCTGCAGCCCGGGCATCCCTGAGCGGCCGGCCGCTGGTCTTGGCGCCGGCCAACTGCGCCTACCCGACTACCCGGCTAAACAGCACAGGGATCTGGATCCCCCAGAACCGATACGAGGGTGCCCCACGACCCACGGTCGGGCGACGCACCCGGTACCCTCAGACGAGCCAAACGACCTCCCAGACTCGTATTGGCATCATCCGCCGAGGGCAGAGTCCTCTTCCAATCCTCCCCGAGGTCACGGGAGGGCCGAGCACTACAACCTGAGCGAGTCGCCACCTCCAGAAAGGTCGGCGCAAGCCGTGTACTCAGGTCGTGCGGCCTTCAACCCGGACAGGGTGTACGAGGCTGAGCAGGTCAGCATCAAGCGGCCTGCACCTGCCGGGCGCGACTCATCCACAGCACCCGCAACAAAGACCGCTCGGATTGTTTTTGCCAAGCGGGAAAGCCAGGTCAAGGCGCCCCCACAAAGCGTACTCGACCAGGCAGCTGCGGATCGCGCTGCGTCAAAGGCCATCACCAGCACCCCCAGCACCAGTGCCAAGGGCTGCAGCTCAACGCGCAGCATCGGTTCCAAAGTCGATTAGTGGGGTAAGACGGCCTGAGACACCGCCCAAAGCATACAAGCGGGCGCCACCCTCACCTGCACCACAGGTGAGGTACAAGTCGCCACCGGCTTTGAAGTTGCCGGTCAAGCAGCCAGTTCCGCATCGTCAGCTACTGCCAGGCCCGGGACACCCGGGAAAGCACCCTCCGACTTGCCACCCAGTTTTCCGAGGTGTGCAACGACGCCATTGACGGCTTGGGCACACCCCCGTTCGGAGACGTGGTTCTGACCTGGAAACGGGTCGGACCATCTGGCAAGGCTGCAGCTTTAGCGCAGCTCGGGGCGTGCGCCATCGTGGGCGACAACAACTCCGTCCTCAAGGAGTGCCGCACCAACCGGGCGCGTTACGACGCGCTGGACGAGCTCCACGAGTACCTCACCCGGCACCGACGCCTTCTCCGCCCTGCCAGGATACTCGATCAGAACGAGTACCTCGAAGAGGTTGGCCGCCGCCCGCAATCGGCAAGGGGCGGCCGAGGACTTTTTCGTAAACCTGGCACCGCCGGAGGCTGCAGCTCAAGCGCAGCAA